GCATTGCTAAGCACAAATAGATCAAAAATGTGGTACAAATATGTCCAAGGGTCTTCCAAAAAGCCGCTTCCAGGCGGGCAACTAACCCGCTCACGCTTAGCTTTATTTACTCTGCTACTCTCTCTATAGGGGATGTCGTATAAACTAACCTACAACGAACAGCTAGTTACTAACTAAGAAAGACACGCCTTTAAAAGAAAATGGCTCTTCTTTTCCTTGCTCTTTTTGATCTTTGATCACTTTTAAAGGCGGTCTGTGCCCTTGATTGGCTATAAATTATTTTTTCAATATTAGAAAATTGAAAGTATTTTAATCAAAAGTTTACATTGAATGCTCGACATTCAAGTCGATACAGTAGAATTAACTATATATCAAAGCCGTAGAAATACTGACATTATTTGGTTCGGTACAATGTGCATTGCTTAACAGCAAATGGTCGCTGACTGCAAAAAAGAGCTATCTTATCTCTCTCGCGATTATTTTGCCGTAAACGTAAATGAAGTGATGATCGATTGGAATTTTCTCATTACCCTTTCGCTATATCGAATTCCAATTTAAAGTGTCGGCTGGAGTTAAGGAAACTCTCGATTAAGATATCACATCATATAGTTGTTTGTAAAATCTGCAAAAACATATTTATTTTCATATAATTCCTTAATTTCGTACCTTCCGTTGCAGTAGCATTTATTTAGTTGTGTTTATTGTGAAAGTTAAGACACTGACAGCAATTAAAATGTAAAATGTCAAATTTTGCAAAATCTGTACATTTGTGCTTACACAAAAGCCTCTTAACAATTTAATTTAAACTGTTCTTAAAAACAAACTTGAAACATGTAAGAAAGAAAAGAGACAACTTGCCACTCTCGGTAATGAAACATTTAAAGTGAACTGTAACAGCATCGCTGTGTAAATTGTCGACCACACACACACATACATACATACATACATACATACATACATACAATATATCTATATATATATATATATATGTAAATATTGTATATAATTAAATATTTCTACATATAATTATGTATGTATATAAATAAATATGATGCATTGTTTAACGAAGTTTTTCATTCTCTATATGTAGCCATCATAATGAATTTAAATTTTATAAATTATTATAATGGATCACAAAAAAGCAATTATGAAATATTTTCATGCGGTAAACGTAGCCCACATAAACGTGCCAATGCTTGTATAAATATTACACATATTTGTACATATATGCATATATATATATATACACGCATATATATATACTTAAATATTTAAATCCATACGCTTTAAAAACAAGAAGAAAAAAGAAAAAAAAAAGAGAAAAAAAATATATTTTTCAAAAACCACTGGAAAAGCTTTAGTAAAACTTTTACACTTGACTAAGTAGATACACATACGTACATACTCATTTGCATTTATTATATGAATACACACAAAATTGCGTATAAATGTGCGTGCTTACGGGTATAGTGCAAAGCTCAGTTGACTTGAATACTTGTAAAGAAAACAAGTAAACCATTTGCTTAAGTCTTTTTATTTTAATTTCTTTCGGTTTTTTTTTTTTTTTTTTCATATACCTATATATGTGCACATATTATAGACTCTATGGCATAACAGTTTACATGCAATTAATGCTGCCTGCCATGTAAATGTCGTTTCACCAAACACATACAAATACACACACACACGCATACAGACACGTGCACACATGCACGCATATACACTTATTTTTTCCTTCCCACACATATATAATCCCCATTACATACATGTTAAATACGTCTTTGTTTTCTATATTCATCGCTACAGTAGACAAATATCATAAATTTTTTATTGCATTTGTAACATTCAGGGATTTCAGGAAATCTTCATACATCAGATTTTTTGATGGTATTTCATTGCCTCTCTCAGTTCAGTCGCCTGTAGCTATATTATCGATATCCCAATATTCGCAATAAAGATTTGTGATGTGAGTTGACCAAGTGTAGAGTCGAACTTTATGATACGTCCTTGTGTCCTTCTCAAAATCAAAAGCGGCGAGTATTTTTCAGAAATTGAGAGTTTGCGGCATATTTCCGTTTCTCTTTTATGAATTGAGTTTACTCCTGAGTTCGTCTATAAAACCCAAAAAAAACCCCGGCTTTGTTTCATAAGTAAGTTGCTTAACTGAAGATATCACTCATGTTATTGCTCAGATCATTTATGAATAAAATATATGCTTAGATTCAGAAGTTGTTTTAACTTTTGAAATCATTCGCTTTGAAAAACCGATACATTTTGACTTAACTTTTTGATAAACATCTCCGAAATACTATCAGAAAGATCAATTGTAAAAGATTACTGTCTTCTTAAGGGATTAAATACAAGGCAGTATAATGCTGCTTAGCGTACGTCACTATGATTGCGCTTTCATTTCAAATATTCGATTGCGAAGGCTTGCAGTGAACCCGGGTTTCTTCAATTCGACTTCCATATCGAAGGGCTTGCTTTTGTTCGTTCGCCTGCTTCGCCAACTTAGGGCTCCATTACAGTTCCCGCGACAAAGGCGTGATCAGCTGAAATTAAAACGCGTTAACCTTCGCAATTTTGTTAAGTCATGAGAATTCCGAATTATATAAGCCGTGATTTCATGTAGGCGGAGTAAAGGACAAAAGTTGTTGATTATACTTGCCATGAAGTCTTCGTGATAAACCCCTGATTACTTTGGATAATAGAAACAAGAAAAGGGAAAACTCTTCGATCCCAAATTAATGAATAATTTTTTTTTTCTTTTTTGGAATCTATTGTTGTGAAGGAGTTTAAGAATTCGTTGTCTAAGGGATATTAAACAATTTCATTTGTTCTATGAAGTTTTTAGGATTTTTGATGGTTTCTTTTAAATTGTTGCTATTGTTACTAGCGAACAATTTTCAAGTCTTATTAACTGTTTAAAAGAAACAAAGTAGTGGTAGTGGTAGTGGTAGTAGGAACAGAAAAAAAAAAAAAAAGAAAAAGAAAAGAAAAAAGAAAATTCAAACTCAACCTCGTAGAACCTCGTATTACATCAAAGTTCATTTTTCCTTCCTTGTACTTAAATAATGAATAAATTCTGGTTTGGTATGGCAAGGGTGTGGTTAGGTTTAAGGTTGCGTCAGAGCATTTCCTTTCTTCTACATTTAGTTTGAAATTTTTAATGAGCTTCACACAAACTTGATATTTATCAAATGTTGTATATATAACGCAACACTTGCATCATATGTTTTATAATATGTGAATGCATTTACAACTACAATATAACAAAAATGGTCATACATGATATTATATATGTAGATATATCCATATAGCGTAGAAACTTTTAATAAGAATTTCATCCTTTTCAAACTTTTCTTATTTCGTATTATATGTGAAAAAAGAGAAAAAAAAGTTATTTCGTAGTTTGTTTTTTTTTTTTTTTTCATATAAATTTATCATTCACAACCCATCAAATTGCGTTTCGTGCAGAACGCAATTCATCTTGATTCATTTGCATGCAATGTGCGTTTTCCGTCTCTTTATATTGTCTTCACATCTTTCTTCTTTTCACACTTGCAAGCGATCTTCACGTTTTTTTTTTTGTTTGCTAATTCTTCTTCCGTTATATGTAATATAAAATGTACGTATATATATATGTTAGAGAAGAAAAAAAAAAGATAAGTAGTAAGAGCGTCACAATCTCCTCCTTAAGGTGAATTTCGGATACCACTCCTCATCTCAAGCAAATGCATAAAATTTTTGTAAACCTTTTTTGTTTTAATTCTACAATACAGCTTAAGGTTAAGGTGACTTCAAGGGGTATTTGCAAGAAATTTTTGGTTCGACATGGATTCGAGTATTTGTAGCAATTTAAGACTTATTATATTAATTTCTTCTATAACTTCTTGAAACTTCGTTTCTAAAATGTTGAGTGTTCTAAAGAGAGATCGAGAGCGAACTGGACTGGAGGTGTTATTGAAATGGCATAGTCCAAACGAAATTATGCCATAGTCCGGTCAGGCCTATAAAAGACGTAAGACTCCAAAATAATGCCCTTAGGTGTCCATCTCTTAGAAGTACATACATTTTCATATCAGTAGCACAGCATGTATTGTCGTGTGATATGTTGCAGTTTATTGCAGCTTGGTTTGAAGTGCTATTTAACCTTCAACACCCTCCCTTTCTGCTGCAATTTCTAATGCTATCTCTGCATATAAAAACATTTTAATAGCGTAGAGTGTCATAGATTAAGCAGGCGCTACTAACTTTGGCTATGTATGTGGAAGTAATGCAGTGTTCGACTTATAAAGTTTCCTCGTATTAGATATCCAAGTTATCAGTCAATGAATTGATTGGTAATGTTGCTTTTACCTAACTATCCGGAGCATGTAAATTCACAAAGGAAACGCGTATAGCTGGCGCGTCTAAAACTAAGCAAAGCATAACGTTACAAACCTTGTGGAGCAGGTCACAAACGTAAGAACAAAATTAATAATTTTCTCTTATCGCAATTTGCGTAGTAATGTTTCCTTTGAATTATATTAAATGTCAACGGCATGTAATTGGTAGCAAAGTGAAAGGCGTGTAAATCGAGAAACCGAAAAAAGAAATGAAAAATTGCCATCACTGCAATGACAATGCAGAGGAAAAGCGAAAGGAAGAAGGAGAGAGACAGAGACAGAAATAGACCATATTAAACGCATTCAAAGCAGAATGAAATTCTGATCATAAAAAAAGCTTTGAAAGAATTCCTACTTTACACAAACTCAGACATGTAGTCAGACGATTTGCAACATTAAAATGAAGTGACAGCTACAATAAGACTGAGATGTAAGAACAAAAACTCTTTAGACTTGAACTTGCGTGGAGGAGCGGAATTTGATAAATTCATTTTCATTTTCGATTACAAGGAATGACGAACGAATCCATGTGTGTTCCAAAATGCATGCATGCTTTTCCTTCAAAATTTTCTACGTTAAATCCAAATAGATAAAGATGTATGCACTTGGCGCCTTAACCTTTCTACTAAGAAACGTAAAAAGCTAGGCAGAAATCTGTGCCTTTTTGTAAAAAATGCAATTTTTCCTTTCTCCCGGCAGCTTCTTGCTTGGACAGCTTCTGAATCTTGAAAAGTAGCTATATGAGATCCTAGATTCTGATAATTTTCGTTATCGCCGGACTTTATTCACATTTGATAACTAGTAACTATTTTCTAGCTTGATTACGTGCCATGTCCTTGGGAAAAGTCCTTACGGGTTGCGTACGAATTCAACGGCCAGCTTTAAATCTATTTCCGATGACTTTAAAGTGAATGGCGCATGAAATGCAACAGTAAAGCTTAGCATAAAGCTTCGCCACTATATAAGTATCCCGAATGGAAGCTTCTGAAATATCTCGCACAGCGGCAGCTTCAACAATACTTCGAAACACAAATTTCTTAATGGCTTTATCTTTAGGCACGCGACGAGCACAATTGGTGCAACGTACTGCCTTCAGATGGTCTCTGTTATTCTTGCAGCGACCTCCATTACGGCGTTGCTTTGCCATTTTTATTCCGTAGTTGTTTCTTCCGCCGGAAGAAAAAAAAAGACCGTCAAATTTTTAGTTCTTTCCATCCACAAGTACTTCATTGCCTTTCATAGGTATAGTATTTCATTACTCATACCAATAGCTTCTTTTATTAATATATTGATGATGATTGATGTGGTAAGGATATGTAATCTGAAGATTTTCGCATGGAAAAGTGTTATCTAATAGGTTTTTTCATCTCTTGAAAATTCTGCTAATCCTTAACGAAACATAATTAGTTGAATTTAATAAATAAAATTAAAAATAATAGCAAAAGTTGAAAATGTAACAAGACTTTATAATAAAGAATGAAAGTTAGCTCAGCGTCACCGTCAGTTAGCGCCAATCGCCAATCGCGTCAAAAGTATTGTTTTCAATGCGTTAGCAAATAGCACTACCGCAAAAACACACGTTAGCATGAGTGACAACAATCCAGGATATTTTTGCTCGTTTTAGTGACACCAATGAGAACAAATGGTTTTGCACAAGTGAATGGTTTCAATAAGTCCGCTTAAAAATTAAACGCAAAATTCATTCATTCATTGAAATTCGAATGTAGCATAATAACAAACCATTCAAGGCAATGACAGTTGCATGTAGTAATTCCGCACCAATTAATACGTCATCATCATCATCATCATTTGCATCAATTGACATAAAAGGTGCCATTCATTTTTCACCCGCCCCTTTTTATCTGAGATACTAATGAGACTACAGGACGGGCAGCAGCTAAGTAACTAATTTCAAATATAAATTGAATGATAATATAAGTAATAATTTCTCTTCAGTCAAAAAGTTTAATTCCCGCTTTATATTGCTTTTAAAATAAGCCCTTATGCATGTGCAGTCAAAGTAAACGACATCCTAACAAGAAAAAATTGCGTTGAGCTTAAATCGAATCCTTTTAATGGCTATCTATTTATTTGATTTGACTGTTTTTAATAAGTTGAACATTACAAAAATAGTCCTGCATGCTTCCATGTAAGCGTTAGCAGTCCTATTTTATATGCGTAATATATATACATATATATATGTATCAGCACTGGTAGCACAAATGAATAATGCTGGCACCTATGTGAACAGTGAATACGATGTTGAAGTTGTTATTATTGTGGCACATAAAGTTTCCCGCGTAACGCATCCAAACCGTAGCATACTAATTACAAAGCAGGCAGAGAAATTACATAAGAGCTTAATAAAATTACAATTACGCAAAGTCATATTTAAATCTCGTCTAATCTGTTGACGAGTTTCGCTCATGCGATAATGAGAGAGAGAAAACATTACAGAAAAATTAATAGTTTGAGGTGGAGAGATGGCCACACGGTCCTAATCTATCTAAACCGAGCTCACTACACACACACACACACACACACGCACACACATAGACACAGAATAACGAACCTATGTAGTTCATTGGAATTCCTATATATTCAACACTTTTGATATATCCCCTTGGAGAAGGAAAAAAACGTAACGTAGTCTGTGAAATCACGATACATAAGACACGTTTTTTACGCTACTCTTTATGTTTCAATGCCTGTCATTGGTCGCAAGTCGAAATTGTCGTCCATTGTTAACACACTTTATAATGCGATCACGCCCATTTATGCTTGAAAATGTACTGATCAAGTTCGAGGTCATCCCTCTCATACGTATACTCTCGTATCCTTTAGATGCTAAATTTTAGTCTTTTGCCTGCTGTGCGTCGTTTTACATATAAAATACATGCTGAGCTTGGACTTTTTTTTTTTTTGTTAACCGTTAGGTTGTTATCTTTGCAGACAAACGAACTCGACTATTATCACTTTTTGAGGTCGCCTAGGGCACACATCTAATGAGTTTATACACATTTTACTTAAAATTTTTTTTATTATTATTTTTTTTTTTAATTCTCCTTTTTAGATCCACTTATACACAATGGAAATAATTTGCTTGATATAAGCTTACATTGCCATTGAACAAGTCATGTTAAACGCATAGAGAACGGTTTCCGTAGCATCCAGTGCCTTTTGTTGTTTGGTAAGTGCAAAATCCTTCATTTCACAAATTTTCTTCTCTTTTTTAACTTAAGAACTTAAGAAAGTAATATTCTGAACAAAGTTTTGAAATATGATTTTAAAAAACTGATAAACATATGAATAATGAAAATATTCTTGACAGACTTTATTTACTCGCATGGCATGTGTTGTTATACCTTACGATGGTAAGGTACCTTTCTATAATTTAACATTTTCCATTAGAGATATATTTATATATAAATAGAGATCAGATCTAATGTTTGAAATATTTCCTAAAAAAAAGTATTAAATAATTAATTAGGTTAATGAAAAGCATTAAATTTACATAATTAAGGACTTGAGCAAAACAAAAAAGGAAAAAAAAGACACTTTTTACCCATTAAACGGTATGAAGCGAATAAAAATGATAAAATTGATTGAAGAGAAAAAATTTGAAATAAAAGTTTTTAGTGAAGGGAAAAGTTATTTTATGCTTCTCTCGATCTTTTTTTTTGTTTTTTTTTTTAGAAAAAAAGTTTCCAATTAAAAACTCTTTAATTGCAATTCTCTTCAAAACGTACGAACAATGTGATATATACGCATATGCATTACATATATATATATATATATATGTATGGAAACATTTAGAAAAAGTTTATTAAAAAAATATATCGATACTAGAGCGAACGAACACAAGTTTGAATATAAAATTAGAAAAAGTAAGAATTCAACTAAAGATAATTTAGTGCATTTACATATAAGCAAATATTTTTTTTTGCGGAGTGAAAGTGCAAAATGCAAGAGTTTGTGAAAATGCACACCAACGATGTTTCAAATCCACCTATATTTTGCACAGGAAAACTTTCAGATATCATATGAAAAATGTTGTTTGCTGTTTGAGTGTATATGGTTGAGTTGCTTACACATCCATATCTACATATCTACATATATATATATATATATTTATTTATAGGTTTCGTTGTATGTATACATAAACAACTCATTTATCAAGGTTGCTGCTATGCTTGTCACTTTATATGCTATCGTTACGGTTGTTGCTGTTGTTGCCTGCCTAGATAAACGTATGCAATATCATATTAATAGTCGTAGATATATAAACTCAACAAACATCGTGTACGTGTATAAATAAATAATTTCATCTGGCAAGTACGATGGCGGTTTATTAAAACTTTTACGGGCATAAGTTTCTTAAAGCGCAAACTGTGATCAAAAAATGTTGGGTATTTTTAAACAAAATTTCAGTTCTTCCTTCTCTTCATATTAAAGCACATCTTAAGATATTGCTTATCTCGGACGAGTACAGAAGTACACATATTTTAATTCAATTTCTGGAGGGAGAAGCAGCGATCATCTTTTCATATGCATGCAGATGCTCAAAAAGCTCTTCGATGTGCAAACTTAATTTTTGCAGCAGTCACATATATGCAGACAAATATGTTAGTTGTGGAATGAATTTTGTTAAATTGATTAGTCGAAAATCATTTCTAAACATTCCTGAATGAAATAGTGCCGTGTAACACAGTAAAGTTTGGTTTCTCTCTCCTTCTGTCTTTTCAAGTCACTCCCTGTTTCTCCCTTCCGGTCACTCTGTCACTCTCTCTCTCTCTTTCTCTCGACTTCTTTTCCTTTTAGCTTCACAGTTCACAAGGTTCCCATGTAATATCCCTTTTCGGCAGGACTTTAAGGATATATTCGAAAACCAATCAAAGAGTTTTTCCTTTTGTTTTTTTTTTTCATCTGAAATCGCTTGTGGCCGTTCCAGAGTTATACGAGTTTCATGACGAAGACTTTAATTTTTTTCCTTGTCCACTTGGAATGAAATCATAGCAAAGATAACTCTGAACTTGCATAACCTAATACAACTGTGAAGGTCATCGCGTTTTAATTTCAACTGATCAAGTCTTTGGCGGAAGAGCTGTAATAAGCGCCGAGGTTGTGAGGCAGATGAACGAACAAACGCAACCCCTTCGATATGGAAGTCGAATTGAAGAAACCCGGGTTCACTGCAAGCTTTCGCAATCGAATATTTGAAATGAAAACGCAATCATAGTGACGTACGCTAAACAGCATTATACTGCCTCGTATTTAGTCGCTTAAGAAGACAGTAATCTTTCCCAACTGGTCTTTTTGCTAGTATTTCGTAGAGGTTTATCAAAAAGTTTTTATGGATTTTGATCTGCTCGACGTGTGTCAAAACGTATCGGTTTTTCAAAGCGAATGATATCAAAAGTTAACAAACTTCTGAATCTTGGCATATATTTTATTAATAAATGATTTGTGCAATAACATGAGTAATATGTTCCCTTAAGCACCTTACTTAGGAAATAAAGTCTGGGTTTCTTAGTCTTTGTAGACGGGGTTTAGGGTGAACTGAACAGAATGCATAGAAGACAAACAAGAATATTTGTCTGCTTTAGCGATGAATATAGAAAACAAAGACGTATTAACATATATGTAATGGGGATTATACATGTAGATAAAGGAAAAAGTGTGTGTTTGCGAGAGTTTCAGAAGTGCGTGAGCATCCCTCGGCAATTTGCTTCTACAGCCGTTCGTGAAAAGCAACAGATTCTTGACCGCTACATTTCTAAAGAAGTATCTCGTATTTACCTTAAATATATTTCGTAAACTTTCTCCTCAATAAATCGTACTTTGATGCATTTTATCCCGAGAGAAAGTTAATCAAAAATGCTTTCGTGCACAGTTTTTTTTATATAATCGAGGTGTCTCTCTGGGCCCGCATGCCCACGAAAATCTCGCGATCATCCACAAAGGCTTTATACGATGCACGCACGCAGCTTATGTTAGTTAATTATATATGTGAATCTCATTAGACTTTGTTTTCAAAAGATCAGTTAACTTTCAATCTGAATTAACTAACTCAACTGCTGCGTCGACGTCTTCATGTGTAAGCCTCATAAAAATACATTTTGTCATATTTTTCCAAAAAAAAATAAAGTTATTTCCTTAACTTACAAGTTCATGATAAGTTCATCACACCACCAAGACCTTAAAAAGCAGTCTTACACACCGTTAAATTGTTCTCTTTATGTCATGTTTTTTTTTGCATCATTTTACCGTTTTCACATTATGAACTCTAAAAAATATTCAACAGTAAAAGCTACCTCCGGGAGAGGAAATTAAATCTAGTGCACACAATACTGCTGAAATTGAACTGAACGTAAAGAATGATATAAAAAAAAAAAAAACTTTGTATTATTTGCAAACGTCTCACTTCAATACAGTACTATTATAGACGCTTGACAAGGTGACGAGAGAGAACAGAAAGTGCAACTAGAAATGTTGCGACGTGACCTCAACAAATTGTTTGACAGGAAAAATTTCAAAAATATTTTCAATGCATTCACACAATACATTTAATATAAAACGTAAAGTATTAAGCGAACTCTTTAGTATATTGTTCAGCATTCCAAGTTAAAGAAGACTGAATGTATTATATTTGGTTATACGATCGAATCATTTATGACTTTATCTCAAAACTGTCAAAAAAGTCAAAAAAAGTAAAAACAAAAAAATTGAAATTTCAACTCTTTATAAGATTAGGTAGCAGCCACCGATATTTTCTTTATATTTGCACAGAGGCTATACAATCGACCAAAAGGATATACTTGGACATTGTAATCGCTATTCTCAGTTTATATTGTATGTACATGCACGTACTTACACCGACTTGGCTCCTCTTTAACCAGATACTAAAAGAATTTTTCATATCGACACGGATTGCGGTGAAGTAATTATTGATCTCTTGTTCAAAGTGTGTTTCTCAACTTCAATGGCACAGTTGATATTTTCACTTTTTTATGGAATGATGTCTTAGTTGTGACAACTAAAAAATGGCAATAAAGCGAAACTAAAAACTTACATTTAAGGCCCCTCCTACAATACTCTTTGCGGTATGGCCCCTACATCATGTTCCCTCTTTGTTAATGCTAAGCCTACTACATTGATCAAGAATGTATATATAATTTATAGGATTTCTGGAGCCATCTTTCGGGTATTGACGGTCGGTTTTAACCAAACCGACAACAACGGACACCAAAATAATAAATAGACTTCAGATCGTATTATATAATCAGGAGCAGCAAATAAATGTAAGATTGTTGCAGCTTAAACGAAATATTCACTCCTTACGTAATTTGGGCTTATTATCTAATTCCGGGCATTTTTTGATTTACATTCATATATTTCATAATCTCTATTTTGAAATGTTGTTATTGTTGTTGGTGAGATTATGTTAAACTTATACAACTTTTTGTTTGCACTTGATTTGTTAATCCTTATGTACGTCACAATGCTCAACAATGTATAGTTATCTTCAATAAGCGCTT